GCTTTGTGGACTCCATGCCTCGTTCCTTGCTTCTTGGACTCATTTCCTTGTTCCTTTGCTTTGCTGGACTGGGTGCAACCAGAGCCTGCCGTGTTTGTGTGTGAGCGCTTTGCTCTGGGACTTGCCAAGAACGTGGGGGCAAATTTGAAGCAGGGGTGGGATTCAACCAGTGTAACAACCGGTTCAGTGAGCGCACACAGCATTTGAAAACTGCCCATTTTCAGCTCTAATACTTACCTTCTACTTGTCAGGATTCTGGCAGTTACTCCCATTTAAATCACGAGTCTCAAGCCAAACTTCCAAAACTTCAAAATGATTTATTGGGAGTTAACAGGTCTGGCATTGCCTGAATGTAGCTGACTCTGAGACACATAATTCATTGTCACCCTTGACCCTGGTTTCCCCCCACCCCCTGGGTGTATCCTAATTCATATTCTCCAATGGGACACATCCATAGCCAAGAGTCAGCAATCAAGTTCTCCAGTTAGAATTTCGCATGGCAGAAACTTCGGTCACCTAGTTACTATCTTTGAAAACATTTATGGAATGCACTTTTGGTTTCCAAGCTGCTGTATTGCTCCCCGCTCCCTTTCTGTTGGCAACTCTAAAAAGAGCATAGAAATGTTTTATGACGCTACTGCAGCCTCGGTGAGAAAAACAGCTGAAGTGTGGCAATCCGCTGTGCCGCGCGAATCATCTGAGCTGCTAAACACGGAAATAAAAGAGAGACTAGGGCAGGGGTGGGCGGGCGGGGCCAAATGATCATCGGAATTACGGGTTCTCCCGAACCGGTCTGAACCGGTAAGAATCCCACCCCTGATTAAAGGGGAGTTTGAACTCTCCTCTGGCCGTGTGGCCTTCGTGCCTTGTCCCGGGTCATCACAAGCGAGATGGGTTGCATATAAATTTAATCAACAAACAAATAAAAGAAACAGACACACAATAAATCTGGACCCCAAAGTTTGGACAGGTTCTCAGGACTCCTGGCCGGGATCAGTTTTTACGAGGCTCAGTAAAGTGGGACTCCAAACTTCATTACCTTCAAACACCCTGTTGCTGCCCACAGGCTCCCGCGATAAACTGTCCATTCTGGAGTCAATCAGACGGTGGATCAGATACTGCATGAGACGTCGGACATGAGTGATGTATGGGGCCCACTTGGAAAATAATCCAAAACTTCGATAGTCTTGAGAAGACAACCGCAGTTTGAGAAAGTAGTCAGAGATCCACTCGATAGTCTCCATGACCTGCAAAGAAAAGAAGGAAAGTTCAGGAAGAAATTAGCTGCGGGTTAGAGCTGCAAAGCCATTCCCAACTCATTGGCAACTGACTTACATAGCTTATGCAGGGAGACTTTACTTTTACGTTTACTTTTACTGTTAATTTACTGTTAATTTACTTTTACTTTACTTTTACTTTACTTTTGCTTTTGCTTTTTTTCTTTTTCTTTTACTTTTTTACTTTTGCTTTTTTACTTTTGTTTTACTTTTACTTTTACTTTTACTTTTACTTTTACTTTTACTCTTACTCTTTTACTCTTTTACTTTTTTACTTTTGCTTTTTTACTTTTGCTTTTTACTTTTTTACTTTTACTTTTACTTTTTTTACTTTTACTTTTACTTTTTTTACTTTTACTTTTTTACTTTTTTACTTTATGTTACTTTTACTTTTACTTTACTTTTACTCTACTTTACTTTTTTTGTCATTGTACCTCATACAATGAAATTAAATACCATCTTCAGTGTACAATTTATGACTATGAAAATAAACACAAGCTCCAATTAATTCCCCCAATCCCACTTTCCCAGGCTCAATGGTGGCAGCGTGGGAGCATCGGATCTCAATATGGCTTCCAAAGCTGACACTCAAGGCCTGTGGGCTGCATCCAACCCACGGGATGCTTAGATCTGGCCTGTCGGGCTGCCCCGGAAATAGTGAAGGACCAGCCCGCGGTGCCTCTGCCAGCAAAAACAGAGCTCAGGAAGGCCACGAGCTCCATTTTCGCTGGCAGAGGTTTGCACAAGGCCACCACAGTTGAAAACGAAGCTTGGGAGCCCGTTTTCACTGGTAGGGCGCTTGGGCCGCCACATGTGAGGTCAAGCTAGCCACGCCCACCCTGGCCATGTCTACCACCACCCCACCCTCCCAAGGTCAAACACAACCCTGATGCGGCCCTCAATGAAATCAGATTTGACACCCCTGGTCTAAGGTGATTCTTCAAGCATTGTAACAGAACCAGTACACAGGGATTGCTCACCTGTTCAGGTGATAAAATTGGCTCCATTGAAGGCTGCATTGGGATGCTCAGGTTAGCCACCTGTTTCCTACCGTTTTCTTTTGCTACAGTGGATGTCGGGCAGCCCAAAGCTTTGAGAGATGCTTTCCAACAGTCAGGGCTCAGGAGCTGATCGGAAGAACCTGGGCAGAGAATTCAAAAAAAGCATTAAGTTCTTTAGTTCTATTAGCTGTGGCTAATCTGTAAAGACAGCTTAGTTGTGTGAATACAAATTAAAAGAGTTGGAAGGGACCTTACAGGTCATCTAGTCCAACCTCCTGCCCAAGCGGGAGACCCTACACCATTTCTGATAGATGGCAGTCCAATATCTTCTTGAAAGCTTCCAAGGATGAAGCTTCCACAACTTCTGAAGGCAACTTCTGTTCCACTAGCTAATTGTTCTCACAGTAAGAAAATTTCTCCTTATTTCTAGGGTTGAATCTCTCCTTGGTCAGTTTTCATCCATTATTCCTTGTCTGGCCTACAGGCACTTTGGAAAATAGCTTGACCCCCTCCTCTCTGTGGCAGCCCTTCAAATATTGGAAGACTGCTATCCTGTCTCCCCTGGTCCTTCTCTTCCCTAGACTAGCCATGCCCAGTTCCTGCAACTGTTCAGAGTATGTTTTAGACTCCAGTCCCCTCTTCATCCTGGTTGCTCTTCTCTGCACTCTTTGTAGTCTCACAACATCCTTTTTATAGTGTGGTGACTAAAACTGGATGTAATACAATACCTGCAATTAAAGGAGTGCAGAATTTAAGAATGGACTGAGCCTCTTAGGAAATCCACAGAAACCTTCTTTCCACTATGTTTTAAAGAGCACAGGTTTCTACGGTAGTCCTTTAAGTTATGAGTTATGAGATATACTTGAAAGCCAGTGACAAGTAGTCATTGAGCCCAACATTTATGTTGCTAAACGAATTTTGCCCTTTTTCACTAGCTTTCTTGCTACAGTGCTTAAGTGAAACACTGCATTTGTTAAATTTGTGAAACAATTGTTCAGTGAATCTGGTTCCCCCATTGACAATGCTTGTCCAAAAATTTGCAAAAGGTGATTCCTGTAACCATCATAAATATGAGTCAGTCAAGCATCTGAATTTTGACCCCTGGTGACCATGGGGAATGAATGCTGTAGTGTGAAAATGGTCCTAAGTCACTTTTTTTTCAGTGCTGTTCTACTTTTGAACGGCCGCTACCTGGTACACATTAAAACAGTGTTTCTCAACCTGGACAACTTTTAAGATATGTGGATTTCAACTCCCAGAATTCCCTAGTCAGCCATGTGTGGACTTCAATGCCCAGAAT